TGGGGGATATGGAGCCAATGAACTACATGAGCCTGGTGTGGGAGGGAAGGCGCTGTGGCGTTTGGGATAATCTGGAGTTTATCGTGTGCAAATTGTGGAAAATTTTCATGCGCAAATTGGCTCTTGTTTTTGCCTACAAATACATTGACACAGCATTACCTGTGAAACACCTTGAGATGTTTTAATGTTATGGGTGCTATATAAAATATAAGGATTATTATTTTATGGGGTTAAAGGAGGAAGGAGAGTAGAGAAAATTGGTGAGAGACATTTAAACGTTTTGTATCTTTTAAGCTTTTGCAAATAGTAGTGCCCTGAATGAACATTACACATAGACGCTAATGATGTCCTCTACAGTACCTCAGGATCACAAACAATGGGCCAGATAGTTTACCACACACTGTATTATGCTGTTTGTGAAAAAAAATCATCTCTCTACAATAGCACATTCGGATATTTAAGTGGCTGCCAATACAGCTTATCAGTCCTCAGCCCTTTATGAGCTCTTTGTATGTTTTCTGTGCTATTTTAAAAAAAATTGCAGATAAAGAAATGAAACCCAAATTGTCATTTGTGTCTGCATATTAATTCTGAAACCCGTCAGTCAGAGCCTGCTGCTGATCCCTAACCAGCTCTGATTTCCCCTGGGACAAAGCCAGCACTTCTCAGTCTGCTTGCTGCAGGCACAGTGAGATCTATCAGTGATGGAGGTGGATTTGGGTCTTAGGTTTAGCCTGGATTTAAAACCAAGGGCGTGCGTTTTCCTAATACCCTCCGTGTTAAAGTCCTTTTCTCTGGGAGTGTCACAAACCTTTAGGGTTCGATTTCATTTGCATGGTAATGTTAATTTTTACTCTTAAATATGTTTCCAGTATGAATTTGTGCCACTATTGGATGCTGGAGACGAATAGATAGTTACATCGACTGAAATTAAAGCACCATTTCCCAAATGTCTATGACTCCAATTATTCCTAAACTTTAAATAAAATTATACATAGATCTTCCTCAGAGAGCTCAGAGACTGGGCAGTGTGTTACTGAGTGACACAAAACTGGGTTCGATTCCCGGATGGTCCGAAACCTAGACTAGTTTCCATGCTCCACACGCTTTTGTTTACCTAACAGGAAGTAGGAACCCGGTTGTTAGTCGATAGGCGGATCGTTTTCCAGGGGTAATAATCCCTCTCCCCTCTCCCCCACCAAAAGCAAATAATAATTTGGTCACTCAATCCACGACTGTTTGTGGGATACTGCTGTGCGCAATTGGCTGCCATGTTTCGCCCACAAAACACACAGTCAATGACTTTACAATATCCTGTATTCTGTGAAGCGCTTTGAGATGTGTCAAGATGTGATAAGGAGCTATATCAAATACAAGGATTATTATTATAAACCGGAAGGGCCTTCTTCATCCAGATCAGTTTTGTGATGTTGTGAAATGCCCCGGTTTGATTTCTGATCTTGTCAAATCAGCTGAGGGTACAAGGCGAGAGCAGGCGAAAGCAAGCGAAGAGTACCAATAAGGAATAAATAAGGACATGAATAGATTGGCAGAAGAGACTCAATTAATGCTTTTGAGTATTAACTAAGAACCAGTAAACTCACCAGATGACTTCCAATTACATCACTCTCCTTACCACATAGAGGAGATTCTTACCAATTTCTTCCAATTATCATATAAATGTAGTCCCCCTACGTTGCTACAAAAAAACAGCCCCTGGCATCGTAGCAGGATTTTTTATTAGAATGACTTGTGCGTTAAATATTTCATCGTTGTCTCATTTGAGCAAAGCACAACATGCCAGCCATCTGGCTTGTTCATGGTCATGTCCTCGTCTGTCTTCTCAACAGACAAATGTTCTCTAACATGAATTGTACTAGTAAGCACCAATGTGTCACAGTGGATTGGTGGATCCCAGCTATGCCAGCCCTCACAATAGCAGCTGATTATTCCTTCTTGACTATATATCCGGGGGAGGGGAAGAAATTCCCCCTGGGTTCAGGCTTAGACTTTTCTCTTAGCATTTTGCCCACAAAATGTACAGTCAATTCACTTTACAGTATATTCTGTAAAGCGCTTTGAGACGCATCGAAGACATGATAAGGCGCGATATCAAATGCAAGGATTATTATTATTTCAGAGTGCCCAAATAGTGGGCAGTTCTCAATTGTAGCTTTAATTTTGAAGCTTTTGTTTGTAGTTCTTCAAAGAAGACTGAATTTAGGAATTGTTAAAAATGTACCCACTGAAATGCTACGATAAAAAGCCAAAGTCGAAAGGCATGTGGAGTTCTTCTCTCTCCTCTCAAATAATGTCCATTCTTATCAGGACAGGAGGTGGGAGGGGCAGGTTGTGTGACTTTTGCTAACCTTCCAGTTAAAGGATAAGATAAAATAGTTTAAGATAGTTACTATGGGATTATTTGCTGTGACAAAATGCTACAGAGATAAGTGGGCTTAAAGGAAAAGGCGCTGCAAAGACATTTGGTGGTTTCAAACCTTTTATCAAGTACCAGGATGACAGGACTGAGCCTCAAATCCCTGATAAAAATTGTTGCTAATCTGTTATCACAGAGCTTTGTGCTGTTATGTGTCACGTGATACAGAGGTGACATGCACAAAGCAAAGAGGTAGCATTTGTACAAAGCTCATTTGCTCTCTTGTGGGTCGGTCACTCTGCACAACATACTGTCCCCTGGATGTTGACCCGTAGCCGCAGAGCAGTGAAGGAAACACTATTGAGCAATATTTGTAATGATTCTTAACCAGAGGCTCTGAGTTTCTCATCGTGTCAGCCTACCAGGTCATATTTATCTTAAATTTTCAGATTACACAGAATTTTTGAGAATTCTTAAATCCAGTTTTAACGTGGAAGCCGATTTTTTGCAGTCCTTAAAATAATTTAAGATTTTTTTTACAATTCAGTGTCATTTTAAGATAATATTGTCCTAAAGGCTAAGGTGAGGTAGAATTTCAGGCCTCAAATTCCTTAACAAAGAATCTTGTTAGAATTTCCATCCACTCCCAGGAACTACATTGGCTCTGGATGTTGACTATGTTGGGATAAAGTCTCACTCCAGGGCTTTGAACACATGGACTAGGCTGACATTCCAATTGTCAGAGGAACCATCCTTCGGATGCGATGGTAAATTGAGTTCCTGTCTGTCATTAATGTTCAGGTGGATATAAAATCTCCTTTAGCACAACTCAGAAAGAGAAAGTTTCTCTTGTAGTCCTGGCCGACAATCCCCCAGATAAAATTGTTTGTTCACTTCATGGCTGTTTTTCCTCCGGCCCCCGCATTGTCTCGTGCGGTGTCCCTCAAGGCTCTGTCCTCGGTCCCCTCCTCTTCACCCTCTATATGCTCCCCCTCGGTGACATCATCCGCAGACATGGGGTTAACTTCCACATGTATGCGGATGACACCCAACTCTACCTTTCCTCCTCTACCCTCAACTCCACGACCACCGATGTCCTGACAGCTGTCTGTCCGACATCGAGTCCTCGACGAGAGATAACTTTCTCCAGCTCAACGTGCGCAAAACTGAGGCCCTCCTGATTGGTTCGCGTCAGCGCCTCCGCACCTCAGGCGCTGACACCATCAGCATCCAAGGCTGCACTCTCCACCTCTCAAAGTCAGTCAGGAACCTCGGGGTTCTGTTCAACCCTGAGCTGTCCTTTCTCCCTCATATCCGCGCCACAACTGGCACCGCCTTCCATCACCTCTGGAATGTCGCCAGACTACGGCACTACCTCACCCCTCACGCTGCTGAAACCCTGGTCCACGCCTTTGTCACCTCAAGGCTGGACTATGGGAACTCTCTCCTCGCCGGCCTTCCCGGCACCTCCCTCCACAAACTGCAGGTCATTCAGAACTCTGCAGCTCGTGTACTGTCCTGCACCAGGCTTCGCGATCACATCACTCCCACCCTCGCTCGCCTCCACTGGCTCCCCATCCCCCAGAGGATCGAATTCAAGATCCTCACCTACAAGGCCATTCACGGCCTCGCTCCCTCCTACCTCTCCGACCTACTATCCCCCTACCTACCCGCCCGTACCCTCCGTTCCTCTGGCTCTGGTCTGCTCCACACCCCCCGCCCTAACCGCCCTACCATCGGTGGCCGGGCCTTCAGCCCCGAGGCTCTGGAACTCTATCCCCCAGTGCCTTCGCCGCCTCCTCCCTTTCCTCCTTCAAGGCCGGTCTCAAGACCTTTCTCTTTGACCGTGCCTTCAGCTCCCCTCTCGACTCTCTGCCCCCTCCTCGCTCCCTCCCTTCCCTCCCCTCACCCTGACCATTTCCCCCTTGCTCGGGTCCTGACCCAACTGTACAACGCTTTGGGACGTCCTCCCGACGTGAAAGGCGCTAATAAATGGAATCTTGTTGTTGTTGTTGTTTGTGGGACATTGCTGTGCGGCAATTGGCTGCTGCATTCACCGACAAAACACCACTTTACAGTAAATCCTGTGAAGCGCTTTAAGATGTCCTTCTGATGTGAAAGGCGCTTTATCAAATGCAAGGATTACTATTATTATTAAAATCGATCCCCATGTTTCATAACTTTACCTTCCTCGAGCCTTGGATTTCCCTCCGCTTTCCGTAGAACTCTTAACGCATCACAAAGAGTCTGAAGGGTGATTGGAATCGTTAAACTGATTAAAGTGTCTGAATCCTACAGTAACCACTTCATCACACAAAGAGATTTCATAAGATGCCGGATCAGTGGAGAGACCACTGTTAACAGCACTGTCCTGCAGAGAGTGTGATGCAGTATTACAGCTGAACTCTCATTCACCTCGGGCCCTGAACTGGGGAACGTCACTCGGAGGTGTAGTCACACCTATCCTATAAATAACCATCCTGAGACTTTACAGGGAGCTGCCAGGCTGACAGTTGTGTGACATTTTGTGACGCATTTGAGGTGTTAGTTACCACCAGTGAGAATTAAGTCACGTGTTACCCGCGATTTGCTGAAACAACAATAACAACTTGTATCTATGTAGCGCCCTTCACACAGGATGGCGTCTCGGAGCACTGCACAGTGACGGAGTTGGACGGCGAGCAAAGGAGGAGGAGGAGGTGACCATAGGCGCAATTGAAGAGGTACGTCTCGAAGAGGGATTTAAAGATGGATAAGGAGAGGGAGAGGTGGAGATCTTGAGACAAGGAACTCCAGAGGTTTAGTGGCTGAAGGCAATGCTACCGATAATGGAACTTAGATAGTGGATACTCTTAAGCATGGTGATGGTTTTCTACATGTGTCAGACATCCGGCTGACCCTCAAAAATAGTGGCACAGAGGGGACGGGACGCACAGCAGGCCTGTGATATGAGAACGAAGGGATGGTACAAGCAAGTTAGAAATGTAAGGGAGGTGCTAGGACGTAAAGGGATTTATATGTGAGAGTGAGGACCTTGAAGTCAATCCTTTTGGAGATGAGGATCCAGTGGAGCTTGGCAAGGATTGCAGTGATGGGTGTGCAGAGTTTGTTGTGGCTGAGGACACAGGTGGTGGAGTGTTGAATGAGATGGACCTTGTGGATGGTGAAAACTGGGGAGACCAGCAAGGAGCCCGATTGAGAAATTAAGACAGAGCAATTTTCACCAGGGATAAATAACACTTCAAATCTGTTATGAAACGTGGTGATTTTTCAACTCGATTTCTTTGGCACAAGTGTACAAAGTGCTGCTCATTTACTGGGTGTGATAAACAGAAATAGCCGGAGGCTGAAATAAAAACAGAAAAGGCTGGGTAAGCACAGCAGGTAACCCAGCATGGCTCTCAGATGCCAGTTTACCTGCTGTGTGTTTACGTGCTGTGAATTGACAGGAATAGGCAGCTCCGTTCCTCTGAAGTACAGGCATTTGGCAGTAACCAGGGGTACGTATTTAAGTGTGGTTTCGTGCCAATTCAGAGTCACACTGAGATCTGAGGAGCATCAGGTTCTTTGTTTCACTCTGCCTGTTACTGGGTTCAATGATCAGCAAAGTGTGAAATGTTCTCTGCTCACCAGCGAAATGTGTGATTTTCATACCATCTGTGATGCTTTCATAACCAACACCATAGTTTTAAAACACATTTTAGAATTGTTTTGAAAACACATGATAATTTTCTTAACAAAGAGTAGTTTGTCAGCCTGGCTCAGCTGGCAGCGCTCTCGCCTCTGAGTCAGAAGGTTATGGGTTTCAGCCTCCACATCAGGACTTTTGAGCTCATAGTCTAGGCTGACACTCCAGTACAGTGCTGGGGGAGTGTTGCATTGTCAGAGGTGTCATCTTTCAAATGGGACGTTAAGCCTGTTTCCCTGTTGTATATTAAAAATCCCATGGCACTATTCGAAAGAAGAAGTGAGTTTCTCCCAGTGTCCTGGTTGAGGGGACGAGGCGGAGGGACTGCGGGATGGAGATCCAGAGAGTGGGGGCAGTGTGGCAAAAGGCCCGCCCGCCAATGGTGGTGCAGGCGAGGTGGGGGACGTGAAGCAGGCTGGAGTCCGCTGAGTGGAGGGAGCGAGCAGGATGGTAGGGGAATAGGAGGGAATAGGAGGTCGCAGAAGTAGTAGGGAGCAAGACCATGATGGGCCTTAAAGATGAGGACCAGGTTCTTGAACTGTATCCTCTGTGTGATGGGAAGCAAGTAGAGTTGGGAAAGGATGGGGGCGATAGGGTCATGGAGCCTGGTACGGGAGAGAACACGGGCTGCAGAGTTCTGGATGATCTGCAGCATGTGGAGGGAGGAGTTGGGGAGGCCGACAAGCAATAAGTTTGCATCGTCGAGCCTCGATGTAATGAAAGCGTGTATGAGGGTTTCGGCTGCGGAGTGAAACAGTGGCGGAGCCGGGCGATGTTGTGGAGGTGGGGGAAGGCAGAGCGGGTCATGGTGCAGATGTGGGGTAGAAAGGATAGTTGAGGGTCAAACAAGACTCCAAGGTTCCAGACTGGCTTAGCAAGGTGGAGTGTGCAACCATGGATGGTGATGCTGTCAGCTCCTGAGGTGCGGAGGCGCTGACGGGAGCCAATCAGGAGAGACTCGGTCTTTTTGACATTCAACTGAAGAAAGTTAGCTCTCATCCAGGACTTGATGTACGATAGACATTCTGTCAGGACAGCAGTGGTCCTGGAGTCAAGAGTGGAGGCAGAGAGGTACAGTTGAGTGTCATCCGCATATATGTGGAAGTTGACCCCATGTTGCGGATGATGTCACCAAGAGGGAGCATATAGATATTGAAGAGGAGGGGATCAAGGACAGAGCCCTGCGGAACGCCGCAAACCACTACCTGTCACCTGGGCTCGCTCTCAACCCCTTCATCTTGCCCCCTCCTTTCTCTTTTTCAGATCAAGCCTGAAGACCTTCCTCTTCGACGGTGCTTATGGTCACTTCCCCCCGGCTCATCCTCAGGCTCAGCCTTTGTTAAGCACTCCGAAACTCTGTCCCATGTGAAGGGCGCTACATAAATGCAAGTTGTTGTTAAGTGCGAACCGAGGTCACATCGATGCCAACCGTTTGGTTCTGACACCTGGGATGGGCAGCATCTCGTAGCACTTCACGGAGCTGTTGACACCGAGTCGGGGGAGGTGACCATCAGCACGGTCGAAAAGGAAGGTCTTCAGGCGTTGATCTGAAAAAGGAGAAGGGAGGCAAGGCAGAGGAATTGAGGGAGACAGTGGTCAGGGGAAGATGAAAGGCTCAGGGAGGAGGAAAATGCCTAGCTTTAAAGTTCCATTTGTGTCAGCGTTCGGGCCACTTCAGACTGGTGAGGACAGCAAATCCAGTCGCAGTTCCCTTCACCAGTGGCTGCCTCTACTGAGCATGCTCTGCAGTTTCTTCACGCAGTGCTGTGTGACAGTAACTATGCACAGCAACAGGAGCATGAGTGATCCGACACTGCTGGTGGGTAAGTGAGTGAGTTACCTGTGCCTTTTTACTATAGGAAACCTGGGATTTATTTGCAAATGGGATAAAGGAGTTAATGTGCTTGGACTTTCTGCGATGAGGAAAGAGATTCAGTGTCTGCTCTTACTGAAACCACAGTCACTGGTAGCTTAGTGTTGTGCTCACTCAACGTACTTGATTATTTATTTGCCAGTTTCCCAAGGAAAGCTCGATTTCTGTTTAAAACAACAGCAAGGACAGCGAGGAGGCTTTTTAAAGTCGGTACATTACGACTAATCTTGTACAGACGTTTTCGTAAAAACATTATGTGCAAGCGCTATAAATAAATTGGATTATGAGCGAAGGATATTATTTACCAGCCTGCAAGAGTCAAAGGGCTTTAGGAAGAGATACCACTTTGCTAACATGCAAGCTTCGAGCTACTGGAGCTAGACAGCAGCAAAACAGTACGATATTTCATGTATACCGTACATGTTCATATTCTGAGTTGTTCCTTTTCCTTGCAGTGGTGCAGATACGGTATCTGTGAGTCTTCAAAGGAAGTTCAGCGTACAACTAATCATAAAAGTGCTTCTGATTTGTATCCAGAATGTGCATCAGCAAGGAGGTTTGAAGGTCCATGGAGATTTTCTTTCAAAACCATATCTCAGCACAGCTTGCTGGTTGAGGCAGTCCTATTGTCAGTGCTCACACTTAACCCCCTCAAATTGTTGTAGCCAGAGAGAAACAAAAAGCCCAGCTAAAGACTGAAGCCATTAATCAGTTGTCAGTCTATCTCTCTCTCTTCTCTCTTTCGAGCGAGCGTGGCCAAGGAGGCTTGAGCAATGTGGAGAGAGATGGCAGAAGCCAGGTGTGTAAGGGTGGGAGACCTGGCTGAGAGACAGGCAGGGGCTCCTGATTGACAGGGGAAGAAGTCAGTAGAGCTAGAGATGAATAATGCAAAGGAGGAAGGATGAGCCTGAGGTCCATGAGTAGACGGCTCACACTCACTCTCTGCCTCTTGACGAGTGCCTCATACCCAAAAGCTCAGCAGCTCATTAAAGATGTACAGCACTGGCTCTGCTGCCTGTACCGTATTTGCGCTCCACACTTCTTCGCTGGCAGGTCTTGTTCTGGAATAAACTTGCAGATCCCATCGTGGTTTCAGCCCTTCACAACAACAACAAAGTTACAACAAATATAGCCCCTTTCATGTCGGAAGGACGTCCTAAGGCGCTGGACAGTTAAGGGTTTGCACTCGACCTGGGGGTTAGAATCAAGAGGGTTTAAGGGAAAGGGGAGAGGGAGGGTGTGTGAAAGCACGGTCAGAGAGGAAATTCCTCTGGGAAGGTAGTTTCTTTCTGTTTTTCTGTGATGAATTCCTGGTTGTGGCAGTGATGTATATATACTCCATCTCCACCCATGTGCACCCACGAAACGTGATTCATGCCATTCGTTTCCGGGTTCAGCCCCATAATAATAATACTCCTCGCATTTGATGTAGCTCCTTATCACGTCATTGAAATGTGTCAGAGAGCTTCACAGAATATAGTGCAGACTGTGTATTTTGTGGGAAAACCGTGGCAGCCAGTTTACGCATAGCAGTGTCTCACAAACAGTCGTGGATTGAGTAACCAATTTTATTTGGGGGATTGTTGGCTAGGAGACCGAGAGAGAAACTCCCTTCTCTATTTAAATAGTGCTTGGAATTATTAAAGTCCACTTGTATGGATAGACAGGGCCTCGGTTTAACTTCACAGCTGAAGGACGAACCTAAAGGAAGGATCTGAGGTTAACTTAATTAAAATAAACCTTTCCCTCCCCTATTCTGTAATGTAGTGTGAAGGCACATCACATCTCATGTCAAACGAGTAGTTTCATTTTATAAATAGCCCATCTACACAAAAGAAAAGTGTCATCATTTTATGTTATTTTTGAACTGTTTCTTTGACTGCACTGAATTTATAATGGGGATTAGAGTTTGTATAGCTTCATTGAAGGAGCCTGCGCCAACATAAGGCACAAGGGGAAAAAATTATTGTTTTCTGTGTTGTGTGTCAAGGTGTTACACAACTAGCTCAGTTGGTAGCATTCTCACCTCTGAGTTATAGGGCTCATGATCCGTGTCAGGACTTTGAGCTTGTAGTCTGAGCTGACACTTCAATGCGGTGCTGGGGAGTGCTAGATGAATTGAATGATTTAAATTGTTTGAGCCACACAGTTCAAGTAATTGTGTAGCGTGGTAGCTAGAGCACTCACCTTGCAAGCAAGAGGACCTGGGTTTGATTCCCGGGCGGGGCGAAACTTTAGGCAAGTATCCTTACTCTACATGCATCTGTTTACCTAGCAGTAAGTAGGAATCTGGTTGTTAGCGATTGGTGGATCGCTTTCCAGGGGTAATAATCCCTTAAAAAAACAAATAATAATAATTTGGTCACTCAGTCCATGACTCTTTGTAGGACACTGCTGTGCCTACTTGGGTGTAGCATTTCGCCCACAAAATACACAGTCAATTCACTTTACAGTAAATTCTGTGAGGTACTTTGAGACATCTCAATGAAGTGATAAGGCGCTACATCAAATGCAAGGATTATTATTATATTATAAATTCCCAGTTTTAGTCTCGGCTCTAGGCTGAGCAAGCTGTTGTCAACAGGGACAGTATAGTTGGCTTTGGTCTTCCTGAGTTCAGAGAGGTAGTACTCAGCTAAAATAATAATAATCTTTGCCTTTGATATAGTGCCTTATCATGTCTTTGAGACGTCTGAAAGCGCTTCACAGAATATAGTGTAAAGTCAATTGACTGTATATTTTGTTGGTGAAATGCGATTTGGAATTGGGGAAGAGTGTGATGGAGTTTAGAGGTAATGTCTCTCTGCGGTCAAATAGCCAGTCAACTCTCACTGTATAATCTTAGACAGAAGTAGCAGAGTCTGTCAGTGCTCATCCAACTACATCCTGGTATGGGTCTTGGCAATGGTCACCCCTTGGTTTTCTATGTCTGTCTGTTTAAAATATGTTCAGTAAATTTTATGTGTTCCCTAAAAGCATTAGCCAGTGTGAGTGCAGTTAGTAATTACCAATTGTGCTCAGGGAAACTGGGAAAGAGATGAAGTTTGGTAGAACTGGAGCATACCCATATACCCATATTGAGCAGCTCTTTAAATACTTTTTTTAATGTATTTAATGCCTTTGATATTTATGTTGCCGTCAGGTTTCCAAAGGCGTCGGTTGCAACAATTTGGCAGATAACTTACCATTCCAATATGCAAATGAAGGATTGCAAATGTACTTGTCTCCTATTGGGCAACTGAGGGAAGGATTCTGATTAGACCATACCATTGGGTATCCTAATTCATGGAGGGGTTCAATGCATATAAAAGAACGTAGGCCATGTGCTTGGAATCACTTTTTTCTACTTGATGCCAACAAAGGTATGTGCTCTAACTATTGATGAGTAGTAGTCAGAGGTTGGTTCTTCGTGCACTTTACATTAACTTCATTATAAGTGGTTGCTAGATTGTACATAAGTGTGATTAATGTTTGTTATCTCATAGCTGTGTTTGTTGATATTTATCGTGTTGTTTATAAGATTTAATGCTGAGGGTTATGGATTTCATTGAAAGTACAATACAATTCCGTTGAGTTTACTTAACCTGTCTTTCTCAAACTTTCTGTATAAATCAGAGGGAATGCACAAATACCCAAAAAGGTTCAGCCTAGGTCACAGAGGTATTCGACAATAAACCTTTGATTGACTGAAGCTTCCCAATTCGCTTTAATTTAAAATAGCAATTGGTTGTACCTGTCAATGTGCAAGAACTCATTAGTCAAGTTATATCTAGTTGTAGGGACTTGCATTCATCAGTGAGGATTGAATACAGGCCACCGAGTACACTCTGTGAGGGGGAGCGAGCCATATTGTGGGTGTTCGTATAGGGGTGACAAACCATCTCAGTCGGTACATTCAGGAGAACAGTGCAGAAAAATGAAATTCTGCAATGCATCATTACCTTTGATATAATCCAGTCCAGTGCTGTATTATGTGGTTTAAATCTTTGCAAATAATTGCAATAATTTCCAGCATTCCAGACTTGTGTAAACTGCTGTTTTAGAATGTTCCAATGAAGATATTAATCATTCTCTGAGTGCTTTTTATGACTTTGCTTTAGGGTTTCTAGGACAACAGTGTTGAGACAGTAAGCCCTTGGTGCGCAATGCACAACCCTCTCTCAAAGTTACTAATGCATTGCAGAATTTCATTTTTCTGCACTGTTCTCCTGATTGTTACAAGTGACTGATTTGCCAAGAGTCGGTGCACTCTTCAAAAACAGTTATAATCCACGTGGAAACAGTGGCCATCATTGTCATGAACAGCTGTCCTCTTGCTCTGAAGCTGTAAGTGTACAGAAGGACAATTGCTGGATAATACAGAAGAGTATCATTTTCCATTAATTCATTTTGTATCAGGTAGAAGTGAAATGAGAGGAATTGGACGAAGATATCGATGAGAATGTGAGTAATAAAGCTTATATTGATTTTTTTTAAACTTTGGGTTAGAGGGTCTTCGGGGGTTGATTTATTTCCTGGTCCTGTACATTCCTATGTTCTTGTGAACTGAACTCTGCTAATCCATTGCATTAATGCACAAACTAAAATGAAATCTAAAATTTCACTTTATGACAGTTGTTGCACAGGTTTGGCAGGTTGTTGACAAGTGAGCACAGTTTGCCTACAAATTGTTACTTAAAACTTCCTGTGTTTGTGACAAATGTGTGGGGGAAAATTATTCTTGCAACCGTGGAAAGCCTTGCTAACAGAAGCTCAAAGGGCTTCAGTCTTCGAAATTGGGCAATGTGTTTAATCCTTTCTAATCCAATCTGTTAATTTGTTGGCCTTTTGGATTTTGCATGTACCAATGTACCCAGTGAAGAATGAAGGTATTGTGTGTTTATATTCTGCTGTAAAGCACGGGAGCAGCCGAGAACTTCTGTTCCAAAAGACTCAACAAGTGAACGAGGCTTGAACGTGTAATTTTTCTCCAGGAATCCAATTTACTTTTGCTGCTTCTTGGAGAGCAGACAGACAGACCTTGGATTTACATCCAATGTAACAGACCTTTAAAAATGCAGAGCTCCCCAGTATTACATTACCTAGACTATATGCTCAAATCAAAATATGGAGCTCAAACTCATGAGACCCAGAGCCAAGATTACAATGATTTCAACAACAACAATTTACATTTGTATAGCGCCTTTCACGTCAGGAGGACGTCCCAAGTCGCTGAACAGTCAGGGAATTGGACCCAAGCATGGGGATTGGGATCAGGAGGGGGAGGGCAGGGAGGATAGGGGTTCAAAGTAAGTCAGAAAAATATGTCCAGAAGAAATAAAGTAAGTAAACTTAGGGTAGATATCAATGGTTCCGTCAGCCTGGCTCAGCTGGTAGCAATCTTGCCTCTGAGTAAACACTACAAGGTGCATTGATATAAGTGCAGAACACCATTGTGAAGTTCAATGTACTTTTAAAAAGCTGTCAAGCCTCCAGCAACTGACCCCAAAGTGCCAGAGATACAGGCAACTTCAGTTATAACTGCACATTAGTCCAATGAACCCAGGAACTCCTCTCAGTTAACCTCCCCAAACCGTCAGGACTAATTAATACAGTGCCCATATTCACCTGCCAAAATAATCACAAACTATTCAGTAAATCCCGTGAAATGTTTTGAGACAACTTCCCGACTTGAAAGATGCAGCGCGAGGATTATCATTAAGTATCATTAGTGATAGCCATGATCTCTGTCATAGTGGGGAGAAGGGGGTGGCGGTGGTTACGTCATGACTAGTGAAAGCCTGCCCTTTAAATGTGGGATTCCAGCAAGCAGCCTCGATGGGATTGCAACAAAGTATGGCTCAGAAACTATCATGTTTTGGGGTTTTTACTAATGTTCTGAGAGTTGTTATAGTATGTTGGATTGTTGTGTTTGCTCCCGTTGTCTTGAATTTTTGTCTTCTTTATAATGCAAGGTGGGTGGCCTAGGGTTTCTCGGTTGCAATAGAGAGTAGCACCTCGGAAGGCGTAAGTGCCAGCATTTTATGTGGTTATGATGCAAAACTTAATTTAAGGCTTTGAGGTGTTGTAAAAATATATACTTGTATATTTAAATTAGTTAATAGAACCGGGATACTGTCTTTGTCCTCCCGACTCGAGAAGCCCCGACTCTTAATCATTGAAGCATTGGGTATCAGAAACCAAACTCCGTGACGAGGTGGAGAGCCAGTGCGTGAACCAGATTTAATATTGGCTTTATTGAGAACGCATTCTGTGTAATTTGCAAAATAAAATAGAAATAATAATCCTTGCATTTGATGCAGCACCTTTCACATCAGGAGGGAATGTCTCAAAGTGTGTTTTGATTATGTATTTTTGTAGGCAAACTTGTTAAATACCCAAATTGTTTATATTTGATTGCTTTTAGGAGGATGGGACCTGTGGTTGGTACTAATCTGTAGCTCTTTCAAAACCATAATTAGACATCCTGTTTGGGAAAATAACGAAGGATCAGCCATCACCCTTTACTTAAACACTGTTGCCCCAGCACTTTAAAGTGCTTTAGCTAAACGTTAATTTATTTTTATGCTGAACAAGTAGTTCTGGTAGTTTCCTGACAATATTTTGCTGGTCATGTGAACTATGTGAAGTTTCCCCCTGTTTCTCTCCTCAGTTTTAATGACATTGGCTAGATTCCATCCCAATTAACCTTGAAGGTTGAGAGTCTGTTTAATCCAGTAGAAAACAATTGTTCTCTTGTATTTTTCACCAGACAAAGCCTTTTCCCGGGCCGTGGGCTGAATGCACAGACTTGGGTTCTTAGCTGACCTCCTTTCTCCGTCCACGTTTTCTGCCGAGTTGCTCCCAGTTCAGCAGATGGTTCTGCTCCACCTTGAGTTTGTGGATATTTAAGGAGTTCTTTTAACGCCATCACAGAGACGGAGAGAAAGAAAAAAAGCAAGATTCTCTCGTGGTTCTTTTGTTTTATTTGAAAACCAGGAAATGAAGACTGGAGGAAGTTTATACATGAACTCCAGACACGACTAAGGAAATGGTAGGTTGGTGGATGACCAGCTTGTAATGAGGCCACAGGCTGATTGTCAGAGCTCTACAGTATTTTGAGATAATTGCAAATTCACGGAGTCTTGATTGTTGGAAACTTTACATTGATGTCTGTCATACTTTGATTGCTAAGTATAGCAATGAGAGGGACTAGCATTTTTATAGCACTATATAATAATCTTTGCATTTGATATAGCATCTTTTCATGTCATTGAGACATCTCAAAGCACTTCATAGAAACTGAATTGATTGTATTTTGTGGGCGAAACATGGCAGCCAATTGCACACAGCAGTGTCCCACAAATAGTTGTGGATTGAGTGACTAAATTATTATTTGAAGGGATTATTATTTATTTCATGAGCCAGCCCAAGGAAAATATTCTGAAAAGTTCATTTGGGTATCACTGCCTTTCGTTGACTCGCTCTATAGAAAGTTTCCCCTGGGGCTAGCGAGCAACAGGCAGAGAAGGTGGACCATGCTGAGTTTGCATCTTGTCTGGGAATACAGGGAACATGGATCAGGCTTGGAAGGGAATAATCTGTGTGTACATTTATGCGGGTTGATATGTCAGTTTATAACTCGTGTAAATGAGATTGAACTGCTTGTAGGAGAATTAATTGGCAATCCACGAAAAAGTTATATAATAATCCTTGCACAACTCTGTTTACGTAGCATTAAGTAGGAACCCAATTGTTAGATGATTGGTGGATTGCTTTTCTGGGGGTAATAATCCCTTCCAAAAAAGAAAAATTACAATAATTTGTCACTCAATCCACGGTGTTTGTAGGACACTGCTGTGTGCAATTGGCTGCTGCATTTCACCCACAAAATATACAGTCAATTCACTTTACAATATACATTGGAATATACAGCACAGAAACAGGCCATTCGGCCCAACTAGTCTATGCCGGTGTTTATGCTCCACATAAGCCTCCTCCTGCCTTTCCTCAACTAAGCCTTCAAGCATAACCTTTTATTCCTTTCTCCGTCATGTAACTATCCAGCTTTCCCTTAAATATATTCTGTGAAGCGCTTTGATATGTCTCGACGTGATAAGGCGCTGTATCAAATGCAAGAATTATTATTATTACTTTGATCACTAAAATTATCTGTAGAAGATCTTTGGAATTATAATTCAATTTACATTTATATATCTTTTATGAAAGCAGGATGTCTCAAAATGCTTAACACAGCTAGATGGGTACCTGAACCAAGGGTTGGAGGAGTTAGATGACCAAAAATTTTGTCAAAGAAGTAAATCTTGAGGTGGGCTTTGGAGTTTTTAAAGCTAGCATTCTTAGTGCAGTATCATAGTAAAGTACTAAGGTACCTTGTTGTACCTTGTCACATTAAAAAAGCACTTCACAAGCAAACATTGGGATGCTACCCTGCAAGTTGTTGTTGTTTTTGCGGGCAAAACTACCTACGCCATTAAAGGCCCACTAATAACTGAGAAAAATGACCAATTAATGACCAAAATGACTGGAGGATTGTTGGCCAGGACACTTCTCATATTGTGTAATTTCACAGAATCTTTAATGTTCACCTGAACCTAAACCATCTAAAAGATAGGCTCTTCAATAATCAGATTTCCCCCAATACTGCACTGGAGTGTCAACTTAGACCAAGTTCAAGTCCCAACATTGTGCTTGGACCCAAACCTTATCCAGAGACAAAATTGAGCCAGGCGGATACTTAGCTTTTCATAACTCACTCATTGCTGTTTTTTCTTAATGTTTCCCCATCAGTTTCCACATATCTAGGCTATTTGAATGCACAGTGCTTGCACTGTGTTTCCATGTGCAGGTGGGATGCATGGAATTCTCAATTTGGTTTGCATACTCTTAAGCATAGTGATGGGTTTCTGTATATGTCAGTGGTGGAGTGCGTGCTATGCTAATGCACAGTGCTCTATTAGTCAATCCTGTGAAGTGCTATGAGCATCTCGATGATGTGCTAAGGTGCTATGTCAAATGTAAGGATTATTATTTTTACCTTGCCTTCGGAACGAAGGCTGCACTTGTTGGCTTTAGTGCGATCGATTGAGGAAAAGGGAACTTTGAGCTGGGTCAGATTTTCTCTGTTTCACCAATACAGTATAATAGGTTGAACAGTCAGTAATAATGCTAATAATGAATCCTTGCATTTGATATAGTGCCCTTTCACATTAGGAGGATGTCTCAAAGTGCTTCACGGGATTTACTGTAACACGTGGTGACTATTTTGTTGTTGAACATTGCAGACAGACACACAGCAATGTCCCATAAATAGCCATGAATTAAATGACTTTTTTTTAATCCAGGGGGTTGTTCTCAGGAGAAACTCCATTTTGAATGGGGGTTTTTAACATCCACCTGAACAGGCAAATGGGACCTCGATTGAACCTCTCATCTGAAGCATGGTACCTCCAACAATGTAGCACTTCCCCAGCACACATAGGGAGTGACTTGCCTAGACTGTGGGGTCAAAGATCAATTGACACCAATCTAGCAATAATATCTTCAGCAGGAGATATACTGGATTTACAATTCCTGTGACTAGTTAACTAAACATTATTTCTCAAAGCTGACAGTGATTATATTACCAATGAATTCAATACCCTTCTGCAAAGGTCACAATGAACTCTTTTGATCTGTCAGCTTACCTAATAAACCTGGAACACCCTTCAATTGCCGTTACCTCTGTTTAAAACTGTATTAATAAGAAGATTAATTTCTTCAAATCTGCTCCGCTCCACTGCAGCGTTATATATAGCGGTGTCAGCCCGGCTATTTTGGAAGCACTCTTGCCTCTGAGTCAGAAGGTTGTGGGTTCAACTCCCATGTTACAGCATAGGCTGACCCTCTAATGTGTTGCTGGGGGAAGCGTTTTGCTGTGAGAGATGCAGTCCTTTGGATCAAACGTTAAACTGCCTGCTGAGGTGGACTTTTTGTTTGTATGTTTGTGCTTCGCCCCCGCTTCCCCAGGTCGCTCCTGAAGACTTTCCTTTTCGACTGTGCCTAAAGTCACGTCCCTTGTCGTCCCCCCCCGGCTCAGTTTCGTGCTGTCGAGCGCTCTGGGACGCTACCCTGCGTGAGGGGAGACATACAAATGCAAGTTGTTAAAAATCTCATAGCGTTATTCAAAAAGTGAGGGGAATTTAATATTCCCAAGTCTTCTTCCAGCCACAACAGCACAGGAATCATTGTGTCCCGTGGAGCAATAGTTCTCTCAGTCTCAAGCTTCCACTTAGCATTACAATGCACGGAACTGAATTAACACACAAGGCTGACATCGTCAGACCTCTGAAGCTCCTTCAGATGGTGACTCTCTTCGCTATCGCTTCAGTGCCTTTGCAATGTCATGGTCAGTAACTCCTCTGCATTCATCATTTGTGTAAAACAAACTCACAAAAAAGGATGTAAAAGTTAATGAAAGCTCTTTGTAACAGTTTGACTTGTAAACTGGAACAATAATGGTGACTCCTTCTTCAAAGAGTCTTTGTTGCAGAGAACAGATGTGCATCATTTGGTCACACTGACATATGGTGCCTTTTTGCTGTGAGTTGTGCCACGTGTTTAGCAAACTGTGCCAATCGCTTCAGTAGATATTCTACCCTGCAATAAAACATTCACAGTGAACAATACACCTCCATGCGTTGACAGTGAAAGTTTATTGTACAGCTACTGTATTTTCTGTGCATTGGCAACAAGAGTTTTTTTTGGTCTGACACATGCAGAAACTCATCATCATGCTTAAGAATATCCAAACCAGACTGAGGAATCCACATATAATAGTATAATAATAATCCTTGCAATTGATCACTATAATGCACACGCCTAATAATAATCCCTTCAAAACAAAACAATAATAAATTGGTCATTTTCAATCCACGACTGTTTGTGGGACATTGCTGTGCACAATTGGCTGCTGCATTTTGCACACAAATATACGGTCAGTTCACTTCACAGTATATTCTGTGTAGCGCTTTGAGACATCGAGAAGATGTGAAAAGTGCTATATCAAATGCAAGGATTATTATATTATAATCTCACTGTCGAGTTATCTCAACGCATTTCACAGGATTTAGAGTAATGTGTGTCTGTTTATTTTGTGGTAGAATGCAGCAACCAATTTGCACATAGCTGTGTCCCACAAACAGCCATGGAGTGAGTGACCAATTTGATGTATATGCCACCTTCCAAGGAAATTTCCATGCATCTGGAATGGCACACTCTCTCCCTAGAGGGAAGCACCCTACCTGTCTAATTCCAGATAATAGGTGCTTGTGGGTAAGAGCCAAGGCTTGGGGATCCACAATGTGCATTGGGATATTGCTTAAGTTTAAACAGCTCAAAACATAGATTGTCATCATATGATAGATGAATGTTCTGTGTAATGAACATGATGCACGGCACTATATTGTCACATACTTAAATAAATATGAACTCACCGAGAATTTTCTCCGAAGTTAGCTGACGTGAGTAAGTAAACAGTGGGTGCGATGTGGTGTCAGCCTGGCTCAGTTGGTAGCACTCTTGCCTCTGATTCAGAAGGTTGTGGGTTCATGCTGTTTGTAAAACATTGCTGTATGCAAACTGGCTGTCTCGTTTTGCCTACAAATAAAGTAACTGCACTTCACCATGATTCTGTGAAGCACTTTGAGACATTCTCCCGATGTGAAAGATGCTATGTTAAATGCATGGATTATTGTTATTAGTGTAGGTGGCTGAGTCCCAGATCCCCCTCCTGTGAGTGTCTAGTGTTCAGCTTCGTCTAATTAGCAGAAATTGTTTGGTGATAATTCCCTGACTCTCAGTGCAGGGCACAGCTGCACCCTTGAGATCACTGTTTTCACTTGCAGTAAAGTGTTAATGTTCCTGTCCTTTCCTCTCCCGTTCCCTTGAATCTCGGATTGAATGGCTGGCCAAGGCCGAAGTGATTAGCTGAATGCTAATGTGGGTAATCTCTTTGATCTCAGTATACTCCCTTCATGAACCATGTAACTGTCA